GCCTAAGACTGTCAATGCAAAGAAAGTCTCACTGCAAGACACAGACTACTGAAAATAACACTACTGGGGGGGTGGGGTGGACTAAAGAGCCAATCAACCACTCAGCTGTCAGTCATAAAATGCTGTCCGTCAGTCATAAAGTGTAATTTTGGAAGAGCTCCAGTATTGAGGTCTATAGTCTTTGCAGATCATCATTATTTTAATTTGCATGTCTTTTGTTTTACTCCATTTGCTTTGAGTTTCTTCTCACTGGGCACAGTGGCATGGCCACAGTTATTTGTATTTCCCTTTTTCTTCAGGTGTGCATGTGCTGGTGTTCTGGAGCTCTTGCAGGGGTCTGCGGAGTCCAGAATCATGGCTGTCTGTCTGGGAATCCGGATGTTACCACTGGTTTCCATCTTGGGGCTGCTGTCACTGTAAGGCAAATCCCAGCGCTGCAGCTTGCTACTCTTATTTGATCTCTTTTTCTTTTCTTCCGTCCTTGTCTCAGGGGTTTGCTTCTGGGAACATAACCTAGTGCTACTCGGTACATCCGGGGACCTGGGGGAAGTCTCAAAGGTGTAATAGGAAGGGTGAACTTCTCCATGGTGCCAACCTTTCTTTTGTGAAGGGCCTGACTTTGAAGCCCCTTCGAGGTACGGTAGTGGCCTGGACAGGGCAGTAGCAATTAGCTTACTTCTCCCAGGGCTCTTCAGCGCCCCCAAGGTCCCAGGGGCAGCAGGAGGCCTTGCCTTGGCCGCCTTCGCCTTTTCACACTGCACAGTCTGGTCCTGCAGCCACTCGAGCTGGATGAGTCTGTCGATGTACTTCCCGAGGAGTCCCCCGGCCCGGGGCACATCCGTGGTTCTGCACTCTGCGTTCAGAAGCAGGGCCATATCCCGCAGGTCCCAGGAGTTGAAAGGGGACGGAAGGAAGTCAGGATAGTGGTACTCCGGCTTGGTGTGGCCCTGACCTGGGGGAAGGTCAAAGTCAATGGGATCGATTTCTTCAGCTCGAAGCTTGAGATCTGGAGGGGAGAGCGGAGAAGGAGGAATGGGAATTCTTTCTGAATCTGACAGGTCACTCGCACTGTCCTCCTCCACGTCTTCCTTCATAATTTTCATGGACTGGAAGTGAAGAAACAGTGTACTCTCCGAGGCCTCTCTGTACCTAGAGCCCAGGGTGCTGGCCTGGGGCTCGCCTCCGGCGGAGGCCCCCAGGAGGCTGCTTCTCAGCTGGGAGGAAACATGGGGTCCTTGGGATTTACTCTGCCGTTTTCCTGAAGACTTCCTTGATTGTTGGGCTTTGCTCCAAGATGGGCCAGCATTTGTATTGCTGTGAAAAACAAAACTGCAATTCTTACCACATAAAGCCAAAAAATGTCTAATTGAGCTATGATTAGAGAAACCAAAAGAATCCTCTGGCTATACTTTTCAGCTATTGCTAGGCCTTAGAAAACCTAGAGCCTCCGGATCCTTGCAGAAACAGTAGCTTTACAGAAAATTCTCTGCATAGTGATCTGCTCAGGAAACATTAGGGACTGCCTGTGCCCAAGTACCGTGTGGATTCTGTTCGACACCAAATGCTAGCATTTAAGAAAAACAGTCACAATTCTCAAAGTGCTTGTTTCATAATTTTAGATCAACCGTGTGTGCTTTAAACAACATTGGTCTGGAGAATACCTGCTATAGGACTCTCCATCTCGTCTGTTAATAGTCAATAGAGTTTAAAAATGTTCAGAAATAAAACCCACAGCTTTCTTTTGTAGACTTATTTTAGGTTAAAGGTAAATATAATGTAAAATGCACATTTTACACTGTTTAATCACTGGTAGTGATTCTAAGCCAATTCAACTCTGAATATGTTAAAGTACAGCATATAAAAACTATACTTTAAACTAAAAGCTCATTTGTTTGTTTCCATATAGGAAACATGCTCAGGAAAGATACATTTAAAAGAATAGAAATAAAATTATATGATGCCATTATAATTCAATATGAACGAAAAATAGAGTTAGTGCTGTCTTGTGAATGGCAAGCAGAGGCAAACAAAGAATATTGTGTGTGTTACTAGTGTAGCACTGGATTCTTCCTGGGGTAATATGCTCCAAGGCAGAATCTCACATCAGAGTTGAAAATACCTGTACTTCAATTTATTCATCAAGAATAGAGCATTTAACCAAAGTAAGTACTTTTCTGTAACAGAAGATAGAAAACAGAAATGGGAGATAATTATACTTCCTGGAAAACTCAAGAGGTTCATTTGCCAGGGATTTCAACCATACCAAGAATGTGTTACCCTTCATTAATAAATATGGAGTATTTACATCACGGCCATCAGCTCAACATGCTCAACAAATATGAGTGATGGAGAAAGCAATGAAAGATTGCCACCATTCTGAATCCACAACCAGTACAGTGAAAACCTTGGTTTACAACCAGCTGTCAACTGCACCCCCAGAAGATAGCTATTGATAGTGCCCTTTAATATAGAGGAAACCAATGGAGCAAAGTGATGGAGGGACTTGCTGACACTGCCCAGAACCTCCCCTGTGCAAGCTGACAAGTAACGCCACTCTGTCCACTCGTTTGTGTTAGGTGAAAAATATGAATGTGTATTTCTTATTCAGACCTATTTTTTCCAATGACACATATTCAATCTGGAGAACTGAGGCAACATGCCTTTTGCAAGATAAAGCAATTATATGAAAACTATTTACCTGCTTTTCTGATCACATTCATTCACCCTATTCCTTTTCTTGAGAAATTCACATGGCAGACCATCATCTAGGGTTTGATGAACTGTCTAAAAAGAGATATTCAGTAATAAATACTGTGAACACAGATATGTACACACATACATGAAAATACACAAAAAGAAAAAAAAAAAAAAAAAAACAGGACTGTCCCTTAAAGTTTACATCACCTTTTCTGCACTGCTCAAACTATTCTTGCTCAATCTGTTGGAAGATGATGACAGCTGGGGAGGTGACTTCTTTATTCCTCTTATGTTTGGAAAGAATTCACCACTACCGGAACTAGAAGCAACAGCAAACTGACAGTAAGTATTGATTGCAAATGGTCCTATCGCCAGTATTGGGTCATTTTTTCTCGTTTATTTTTTAGTATTTGCAAAGCACTGTAACATATATTCTGAATTGTGAAAGATTAGAGGGGTATATAGTCATATGTTTCCAGTTTAGTCTTTTCAGCCCCCCCCCCACACACAGTGGACAGTAGATACAAGACCACACTAGTATCAAGGCCATGACTGGATTCTTTCTCTACTTCTGTGTATGCACATGCATGAACACGCGCGTGCATGCGCGCACACACACACACACACACACACACACAACCTCCTTGAAAATAATGCATTGTTGAGGAAATCTGTGATGCTAACTAAAGTCAAGTCTACTCCAAAGCTCCCACATATACTCATTCGCTCATTCAACAAAAAATTTCAGGAGTGCCTAGAAATGGCCCACAACTCCTCTTCCCATGGAGCCTAAACTCTAGTGAGGCAACTCCCTGAGTTCTTCTGCCTCCCCTACGATGTCTTCCCTTCTGAAACTTCAGTCACTCAAACCAGGCCCTGGTTACTCCTCTTCTTTTGAGAGGCCAATACGGTGGGCTCATCAGAAACTGAATACTTCTCTCCCATAACACCCCTGTCTCTGTGAAGTGGAAAAGAGGGAAATGACAGATGTTGGGAACAGTTCAGAAAGAAACGTTCCTATACGTTTTAAAATCATTTTTTTTTCATTTTAAAAAACGTTATTGTACTTCTTTATCATGACCATGTGGGCCTTTTTAGTTGGTTCACATATGATGGTAACAGGAATCACATATGGGCTCTCGCAGTTAACTGACCACACCACACTCAGCAGGCTTGAACTCTGAGGTGTAGACAATGTTCTCTGCTTGACCCAAACTGCTCTCCACAAAGTGCTCTTGCACCCTCTCCCTTTCACTCCACAGGACAAGCTTCACACCAAGAGCTGCCTATTTCCTGCCAGAAGTGCCTGGAAGAAAGGAAAGCCTGCAGGGTCCTAAGCAAGCAAAAACAAACTCCCATCTTCCCGTGGTTCCTTGCATAGAAAGGAAACCAAAAGTCAGAGATTCAGGCGACAAAAATGCTCCCCAGGCATGGGACAGCTGCACAATTCATCACAGGGCATTAACCCCCATCCCGGGTCTTCCTCTGGCGGTGATCCCAGGCAGGAGCGGTCCCCACCCCCACCCCAGGGAACCCGCTGGCCATTGGACGGGCAAAGGATTGTGGGGACGTGTGAGCATGACGCTTCTCTACGCAGCGAGGCTCCCTCGGTCTGGCCGCGGGTACAGGCTGCAGGCACACGTCCAAAGAGCTGGCTGGTTGGACACTAAGCCCCCGACCGGCTCCTGGCCAGGCTGGGTTCTGCCCTCCCTCGCCCCACCCCCACGAACCCCGAAATCCGAGGACCTGCAGCGTGCACCTTCCTCCTCCTGGGTTTGTGCAGACACCAATATGATCGATAGGCGCACAGCCTAGGCAGACGCGGACAGAAATTGATCAGACCTATTCCTCGGCCGCTGGGGGCACGTGACGAGGCCGCAGCACACTGGCTCCAGCGCCGCGCGGGGGACGGACTGCGGCGCGCTGCGGCAGGCGCGGGCGCGGGGCTCCGAGGCGCTGGGCCGGCCGCGGCGGCGTCACGAGGGGCGGGGCGGAGGCGCCCCGGGAAGTTGAGCCCGCTGGAGTTGCAGCCCTATAAGAAATCCACGGACGGGGAGGTGGGAGGCGCCTTCGGCGGCGCGCCCTTCCCGTAAGCCCAGCTGAGCGAGAGGAGGTGCGCCCTGCCCTCTCGGGGTGGCCCGAGCAGCTCCACCAGAGAAGCACTCGGCGCCCTGGAAAATACTTGGTGCT